AAAAAAAAAAAAAAAAAAAAAAAAAAAAAAAAAAAAAAAAAAAAAAGAAAAAAGAAAATATTTGAAAGAAAATTAAAAATCACAATATAATAATTAAAAATAATACAAATTTCTAAAAAAGAAAATATAGTATAACAACTGTTTATATTGCATTTACGCTGTATTATGTATTATGAGTAATCCAGAGATGATTTTAAAGCATACAGGAGGATTTACATAGGTTATATGCAAATATTACATCATTTTATATAAGATCCTTGAGCATACTTGGACTTCGGTATTGTTGGAGTTTCTGGAATCAATTTCCCATGGATACCAAAGAACAGCTGTGTAGGATTCTTTGTCATTATTAAGGGGAAATATAAATATATCTGTTCCTTTGTAGTGATAGGTCAAAGAGGCCTATAATACGTATAGTATATTTTTCTTATATCCATTCTAAAATGATTTCTTAAGTATTGCTGCTTGTATTATCATAGATTCTATAGTACATATAAAGATGAGTAAGTTCCATAATTAAGGAGCTTACTGACTAGTAGTAGAAAAGGCAAAACATATGCAACAAAATATAAATTCAAAGTCAATTGAGTAAGTACTATTTAAAAGAAATACATATGTAAGATGAGGTATTGCCATTCCTTTGGAATTAAATATTTTTGGAGCTGGTTATAGTTACAATTTAAAAAGAACTAGATAAGCACCAGAGAATACTCATTTATTTTCTATTTTTTTTAAAAGCAGCTTTAGTTGTCAAAATTTAAATTACTGCCTTAAGTGAAATAATACATAAATGCTAGTATGAAAGAACCATCTTTAAACTAATGTAAATACTCTTTAGATTGATGAGAGGTTTCTTTCCTCTCTCTTAAGGTATAATTTCCCACAATAAAGTTCATAGGTCTTACGTGCTCTGTTCAGTAACTTTTTACAGTTGTGAACACTCATATAGTCACCACTCAATGCAAGATAAAAACATTTCTATTTCTCTAGAAAACTCACTTGTGGTTGGGCATGGTGGCTTATGCCTCTAACCCCAGCACTTTGGGACACCGAGGTGGGCAAATGGTCTGAGTTCAATTCAAGATCAGCCCAGGCAACCTAGTGAGACCCTGTCTCTAAAAAAAGAATTTTTTTTTTGTTATAAAAAAAAGCTTGCTTGTGCCCCTTCCCATGATCTGATTTCTATTGCCAAGATTAGTTTTGCCTGTTGTAGAACTTTATATAAATATATAGTATTTATATACTTTATATAAATAGTAATGTATACTTTTGTGCCTGGCATCTTTCACTTAGCCTGCACCTGTGGTGTTGTATGTACTGACTGTTCTTTGTATTGCTGAATAGTATTCCATTGCATGAATATATCATAATCTGTTTATCCATTTTTGTGTTGATTGACATTTGGGTTGCTTGCAATTTGGGGTACTGTAAATAAGATTTAGGAGCATTCCTTTTTTTTTTAACTTATGTTTTCATTTCTCATGGGTTAACACCTAGGAGTGGAATCTTGGGTTATAAAGTAGATCTGTGTTTAACTTTTTAAAAATTTGCCAAGTAGTTCTCAAAAATTATTATGGCACACTATTTTATATTCACCAACAGTATGAGTTTCAGTTGCTCCACATCCTCACCAACATTTGGTGATATTAAACTTTGATTTCAGCTGTTCTAGTAGTTGTTAAATGCAATCTCATTGTTATTTTAATTTGCATTCTCCTCATAACTAATAATACCAAAAATCTTTCATGTCATTTTTAGCCATTGTATCTATTTTCTGAAGTATTTTCAAGTCTTTTGCCCATTTTTAAATTGGGTTGCTTATGTTTTTAAGATTGGTTTTCTAAGAGTTCTATATATATTCTGAGTAAGAATCCCATATTAGAAATATGTAATGCCAATATTGTCCAATCTGTTGCTTACCTGTTGATTTTCTTAATGGTGTCCTTTAATGAAGATCCATGTACCAGTTTTTAAAAATGTTTTGTGCTTTTTCTGGTCTGTGTTTGGTAAGAGATAGTTAGTTGTTTAGGTCAGGTTGGCTTTCCCCCCTCCCCCTGCCACATAGGTATCTGGTTGTTGCAACAATATTTGTTTTTATATGTTGACCTTGAATCATTTAATCTTGCTTTGTACTTAACACTTTTGTAGGGTTGTAGGGTTTTGGGGTCAGTTCCACAGGGCTTTTCTGCACATAGCCCTCTGTATCTGTGGGTTCTGCATCTGTGCATTCAAACCAACCATGGATTGAAAATGTAGTTAGGCCTACTGTGGTTGTGTCTGTACTTAAATATGTACTGATTTGTTTTCTTATCATTATTTTCTAAACAACATAGTATGATAATGATTTCCATAGCATTTACGTTGTATTAGGTATTATAAGTAATCTAGAGACAATTTAAAATATACCTGAGGGTATGCTTAGGCTATATACAGATACTAAACCATTTTTTATCTTTTCTTTTTTTCCTGTCTCTTCCCTCCTCCCTCTCTTTCTCTCTCTTTTCAAAATCTCCAAAGGATTTTGGTATCCTCCGGGGGTCCTGGGACCAATCTGCCATAGATACCAAGAGACAATTGCATGAATCATGTCATCGCCAAATAATGAGTTTTACTTCTTTCTTTCCAATCTGTAGGCCTTTCTCATGTGTATAGATTCATATGACCACCACCACACTCAAAATACAGAAAAATTCCATCACAAGCATCCCTGTGCTTACCCCTTTTGTAGCTAAAAGGCAGCTTCCTTCCTCCGCTTCTCCCTGATCCATAACAACATTAATCTGTTCTCCATCTCCATAATTTTGTCTCTTCAAGGGTGTTATATGAGTGGAATCAAATAATGTGTAATCTTTCATGATCAGCTTTTTTTTTCACTCAATATAATTCCCTTAAGATCAATCCAAGTATAATTTTTTTTCTTATTGAGTAGTATTCCGTAGCATAGATGTATCACAGTTTGCTTACCTACCCATTCATTTGGGTTGCTTTTAGTTTTTGGCTATTATGAATAAAGCTCCTATGAATGTCTACGTGCAGGTTTTTAAAAATAGATATAAAATTTTATATGAATTTTTGTTTCTTGGAATTAAAGGCTGAACAGTGCTGTTTGCTGGGTTATATGGTAAACATATGTTTAGTTTTCTAAGAAATGCCATACTCTTTTTCCAGAGTGACTCTGTAATTGTACATTTCTATCAGCAGTGTATGAGTGATTTACTTTCTGTGCATTCTCACCAGCATTTGGTGTTATTACTATTTTTATTTTATTTATTTATTTATTTATTTATTTTTGAGACGGAGTTTCGCTCTTGTTACCCAGGCTGGAGTGCAATGGCGCGATCTCGGCTCACCGCAACCTCCGCCTCCTGGGTTCAGGCAATTCTCCTGCCTCAGCCTCCTGAGTAGCTGGGACTACAGGCACGCGCCACCATGCCCAGCTAATTTTTTGTAGTTTTAGTAGAGACAGGGTTTCACCGTGTTGACCAGGATGGTCTCGATCTCGTGACCTCGTGATCCACCCGCCTCAGCCTCCCAAAGTGCTGGGATTACAGGCTTGAGCCACCGCGCCCGGCCTATTTTATTTTTTTAACTCTGATAGCTGTGTAATGATACTCATTGTGGTTTTAATTTGCATTTCTCTAATGACTGATGATGTTGAATATTTTATGTGCTTATTTGTCCTCTGTATGTCCTCTTTAGTGAAATGTCTGTCTTTTACAATAAATGAGTTTTTGTAAATGGCCTATATTTATTTTCATTTTAGTAAACTGTTTCATGTTCGACCTGTAACCCAAGGAGATGTGTATAGAGCTGAAACTGAAGAAATTCCTAAAATATTCCAGGTAAAAATCTGAAATCACAATTTTAAAGAATCTAAGTCCTAAGTGTTTTTGTGAAGTAAATGTAAAATATACCAATGCTTAAGATTTTAAAAATCTTTTTCCTTTCACCATTCCTGAATGTAGATACTATATGCAAATGAAGGTGAATGTAGAAAAGATGTAGAGATGGAACCAGCACAACAAGCTGAAAAAACTAATTTCCAAAATCACAAAGGCCATGAGTTTATTCCTACACTCTACCACTTTCCTGCCAATTGTGATGCCTGTGCCAAACCTCTCTGGCATGTTTTTAAGCCACCCCCTGCCCTAGAGTGTCGAAGATGCCATGTTAAGTGCCACAGAGATCACTTAGATAAGAAAGAGGACTTAATTTGTCCATGTAAAGGTAAGGCATGACAATTATTTTTACAACTTAGAACAAATTTAGTTTTAAGTCTCAAAGAAATAACGTATGTGTAGTGATTTCAAGTTGAAAAGAGATTATGAGGAGTACTATTTTGATACTGGTGGAGCAATGTGCAGCTATGTACAAATTTAGCTTTTAAGAATGTTTTTATTTTTATTTATTTATTTTTTTTGAGATGGAGTCTTACTCTTGTCTCACCCAGGCTGGAGTGCAGTGGTGTGATCCCAGCTCACTGCAGCCTCCACCTCCCAGGTTCCAGCAATTCTCCTATCTCAGCCTCCAGAGTAGCTGGGACTACAGGTGTGTGTCACCACACTCAGCTAATTTTGTATTTTTAGTAGAGACAGGGTTTCACCATATTGGCCAGGCTGGTCGTGAACTCCTGACCTCAGGTGATCCACCCACCTCGGCCTCCCAAAGCAATGGGATTACAGTTGTGAGCCACCGCTCGTGGCCAATGATGTTTTTAAAGAGAATCCCCTTGTAAACAAACAAAAACAAACTTTCCACTAAGAAATTTTTCCAAGTTGGAGAGAAGAGCAACAGGTGAATTCCACTGTGTTCCTCCCTTGAATTTTTCCTCTTCTTTCTGTAGGGCATTCACTGCATGAATCAGCATGCATGCTGTATCATAGACAGAATATCTTCTAGTTTAGCAGAGGCAGCTTGAGGGACAGAATATAGACTATAGCTACTTTCAGATAAGAAACTTATGTTCTTTAAATACATTTTTTTTAATATTTCTAGTTTTACTTTGTTCGTTTGACTAATTTTTCTTTTTAAATTCCAGATTTATTTAACTTAAGGAGAATGAGATATTGTTCATGCTTAATTAAGCATATTAAAACTTTTAAAACTTTAAGAACTTGAAAAACTATGCATTTGATAGGTTGGATTTTTAAAATTATATGGTTTTAATTATGATTTTTTTCCCCCTTAACATAGTAAGTTATGATGTAACATCAGCAAGAGATATGCTGCTGTTAGCATGTTCTCAGGATGAACAAAAAAAATGGGTAACTCATTTAGTAAAGAAAATTCCTAAGAATCCACCATCTGGTTTTGTTCGTGCCTCCCCTCGAACGCTTTCTACAAGATCCACTGCAAATCAGTCTTTCCGGAAAGTGGTCAAAAATACATCTGGAAAAACTAGGTAAGGATTTGAAATGCTAACCTTTTTAACAATGTGAAAATGATTGGATAGCATCTATTAAAATCAGAAATCTAACTATTCTTTTCACCACAGAGACCATCATTTGTAGCTAGGTCTTTATATATTATTTGCAGTGACTTTATAAATTAGTTTAACATTCTTGTTAGAATTTAATAATAATAATACATTCAATATATTCATTTAGTTCCATGTCTGATTTTATTGTCATAAGTTGGTGTACACGACATATTTTTAGCCCTTAATGGTTTAACCAACTTGTTAATTTTTTTTAATGCAGAAATTCATGTAAAACTTTTAATCATCTTTTCTGTTTTTTAACTGTGTTGGCATAGTTTTTCTACAAAAATCAAAATTGTTTTTTCCTTTTTTGTTAACTTCCCTTACTATGCCAACATACAAAATTATTTGGTAATGTCAGTGACTATGTTTTTTTATTATTATACTTTAAGTTCTGGCATACATGTGCAGAACATGCAGGTTTGTTACATAGGTATACACATGCCATGGGGTTTGCTGCACCCATCAACCCGTCATCTACATTAGGTATTTCTCCTAATGCTATCCCTCCCCTAGCTTCCCACCCGCCAACAGGCCCTGATGTGTGATGTTCCCCTTCCTGTGTCCATGTGTTCTCATTGTTCAACTTCCACTTACGAGTGAGAACATGTAGTGTTTGGTTTCTGTTCCTGTGTTGCTTTGCTGAGAATGATGGTTTCCTGCTTTATCCATGTCCCTACAAAGGACATGAACTCATCCTATTTTCTTTTTCTTTTTTTGAGACAGAGTCTTGCTCTAGGCTGGAGTGCAGTGGCTCGATCTCAGCTCACCACAACCTCTGCCTCCCAGGTTCAAGCAATTCTCCGGCCCCAGCCTCCAGAGTAGCCGGGACTACAGGTGCACGCCACCATGGGTGGCTAATTTTTGTATTTTTAGTAGAGAGCGGGTTTCACTATGGGGGCCAGGCTGGTCTCGAACTCCTGACCTTGTGATCTGCCTGCCTCGGCCACCCAAAGTGATGTGATTACAGACATGAGCCACAATGCCTGGACAAACTCATCCTTTTTTATGGCTGCATATCAGTGACTATGTTATTACAAACAAACTTCCCAGTTAAGTCCTACTTCTTTTGTTGTTTAACTTTTTTGTTGTTTTTTGCG